TTTTAAATAGCTGCAATGTTTAATGAACGTCAGCGTGGTATTATTGTCGAAACTTCTGTACATAAGCACACGCTTCCTTATTGCTTCGATACAAAAGACTTAAGTAACGAACTCCGTCTATTGAGGAAATTTCTTCCCAAAAGATTCAAGCAATAAACTTACGTCACAGATATGTACTATGTATGTATTTACATGCCTGGATATCGACATTGCAATATTGCAACATTTCAACTACAATTTATTGCAACGAAAGTAAATGCAAATTTTTTTATCCAGCATATCAAAAATGCAAAAATAGTACAACAAAAATACATGAAAATATATTAACACATTCAAGCGGTTGGTGGCAAAAATGGCACAAGTGGATGGGCAAGTTTCCAGTGAGATATGATTACTTTGCGGAAGAGTTACGAAATAGGTAAATGTAGATGCATACATATGAGTATTTATTTGTGTACATTGTAGCAAGTGGCAGTAAGCAGAGCGGCGATTTGGGAATTCGATGAATGACGCAGTATCTTTTTGCGATCGGCTGTGGGGAGTGTTGTGTTGGTTTTGTGGCTTTGCAGAGTGAAGCATACAAAGTGCTAATTGCATGTGGGCAACTCGCGATGATAGTGAAAGTGTGAATGTACTTACATATATATATATATAAACACTTAAATATACATATGTACATATGTGCGCATATGTATTAGGGTGAGCCTTAAAAATATCAACATTATAGAGCACCCCCTTAATTTGTTATACGTACAAAATAAAGACATACACGAAAATTTTAAAATTTTAAATACATTTTTAGCGGTTGCTACCAGAGTTTGCAGAAAATTTAATTTTTTTAGATCGCAAAAATTAGACAAAATTTTGGTTTAGACCAGGTATAACTAAGCGAGTTTATAAATTTATACGAATAAGTTTCAAAAATAATGTCAAATTTATAAGATCAAAATTTTTCGTATTTTTTGCGTTTTAAAATAAAATAACATTTTTGCAATCCCTGGTAAGGATCCTAAATTTTTTGTTTAGTTGGAACTTTTCGTGTATGTATGTAAAACAAAATAAACCGGAGAGCCCCTTACAAAATTTAGATGTTGAAATTTTTTAAAGCTCCAACCTAATGTGTATGTATGAAAATTTAAATATTTACTTGCATTCAGATGAACCGCGTGGTGCTGCTAATAAATACTGCTCGATTTAGTGTTATTTAGTGAATAGGTAAATTAAACTATTTTGTTTTTTTTTAATAAGCTCGTAGTTGTATTACAACATCGAGTGGGAAATGAACGGACATTAATTGTTGTTATTTAACTTTTATTTGGGTCATAATACAACACTACACTTTTTAAAAATAATTTGTGTCATATTAAAGTTTCTTACGGGGTAACTCACAGTTTATAATCGACTCGTTCACATCTTCATTAGATGGTTAGCCTATTTGAGGATGAGCGCCGACTATGATAAGAAAAAAACATAGCATCTTAGCACCATCTGGGTGAATATCCAGCATTAGACAGAGATTGTTGAATTTTGAAATGTGTGTCCAAAAACTTTGAGCTTTCATACGGGGCCGTTTCATACGTTTTGTATGACAATAGAACTGCAATCGATTTCCGAAGGTAAAATGATTTTGGTTTTAATTAGTCTTTTTTATAAAAACCCTCATAAAACTTGTTCAAAAGACAAAAAGAGCTTTTATGGTCAAAAACAGCCGACGATCAACTACAAAACTTTAGGACACACACTTTTATATTTCATATCCGAGCCAGCATTTTTATATTTTGAAATGTTATTTTGCAAACATCAACATATCTGTCATGTGTGGGTTTTCGCGCCATATGTGTTTACTTGCATATATAGTTGTGTATGTCAGATTATGTCATTATGCACAATATTTGGAAAGAAAAGTGTTAATGGCATTGCCATGATTTAAAATTTAACCAAACTGCGGTTTAATCGTAATAATTGTGTTTGGAGATATTGCTGCCAGCTAAAAATAATTGACAAATCACGTTGCCAATTGAGTTCATATAATACCACAAAAATTAGCAAGTAAAATAATTTTTACATTGTATACATAATAGAGCAGTGGTTTGGCGCATCAACCTTGACTTAACTTTTTAGATCGACCGGCTCTCTCAATTTGAAGTGCGTCACAATATAAGGGAGGAGTTAACGTTTTTTTATTGTAGTTGCACATCGAACAGCGCTTTAGATTTTACAATGACCGCTGTAGCCGAGTGGTTAGAGGGGCGTACTGCCACTCCCTAAGATCAAGGTACGATCTCTGGTCAAGGCAAAATCCTACAAAATTATTGAAAACGGTTTTATCTTAGCAGTTAAGCGGTGAATCTCTCAAAAATGCTTACCCAATCAAGATCCACCACTTACTTTCTAGTTTACCAAATGCATTAGTTTAACATGGGCATGTCATTGAAGGTAATCTAATAAATGTAAAATTTCTTATCATTGCATTACATGTTCCCAAGAAAAAGCACAAGAAACAGTTTTGCATGATTTCTGTTGCTTTGCGGTTGCTGTCAGTTTTATTGGAGAAATAAATATATATACTGATTTAAGAAATTTTGATAAAAGAAAATTTCATTCCATTAATTTTTTTTTTGGAGAGCTGCATTTACGGTTTTTTATTTAAGTTATGTGCTTACTAAATCGTTTGGCAAGGCGGCCGCCGTGGTTGGGTGTAGAGTCCGACCGATTAATCGGCATCGGCTAATATCGGCACAAAATTGCGCATCGGCATCGCCGATTCTTTGCTGATTACAGCTGAGACAGCAAAAAAACAATTTTGTTTTTTTGGTTGAAGGTGTTTCAGGTTTTTTCCATTCAAAAGTATGTTCGATTTTTTCTTTTTTATATGGAGGACACTGCCAGCAAAAAAAAAAAAATTCCCATAAATCAACGGGATTTTATAGTAGCTGGTGGTACTCAAAAAAATTCTAAAAAATCTGATTAAAAAATTTAAAATTTGCTGAATTTTCGCGAATTTTGCACAAACCCTAGGAATTATATTTTTAGGTTTTTTTGTTGTAGAATGAGCCATATTTTTAAACAACATCGGCGGAAAAATATTAGAACAAAAATTGTTGCTTATATTGTGAAAAATTTACTGTGCTTTTTTTCGTTGACTAAAACCTCTGTCATTGTTAATAATGTAGAGTTTCTTCTCATGTGTGTTTCTTCAAAACATTAAGTTGAACAGGTCGCATTGGACATGCTTGAACTTGCTAATTCAGTTTCAAGTTTGACTTATAACTAGTGAAGGGGCGTGGGCATACGATTTTTACCAGCAAACTAGTTTTGATAAATTTTAAAGAATTTTCAGGAATGCTGATGACGTTGTCACTTTTGGCTAAATAAAAATCTGGGTCGTTCCGATTTCATAGATCACACTGCAGTCTTCTAAGTGTTTTCTTCGATATTCGCGGTATTGTTTTGTGTATCATGAATTCGTTAATATGGTGATAAGTGCCTAAGGAAACTTCAGTGCTAGAAATTCTTTATTCGTAATTTTTTTTTGGCGGAATTTTTGATGTCAAAGCATAGTGTCCAGCTCTCAGCAAAAACAAATACTTCATATAAAAAATAATAACGAAATTAAAAATAAAAAATAATTAAAAAATACTAAAGAAATTAACAATAAATATTCTATCATGATAAAAACATTATAAAGTAAAATCATTCCCTCAAAAGATTACACGGAAGATTTATATCCCTTTGTGCATTTGTAATAAGTGCTAAACGATAGTGGTTGAGTTCTGAAAATGTACGTTGACAAGGTATGAATGGACCCCAAAAGTATTACTAGAAAATAGATCATTCTTTTGCCAAATGATAAATGTTTATTGCTGTACATATGTGCGTACATATGTATGCAGTCCTGGACATATATGCGTATGTAAGTAAATAAAAACCACCAAAGAAATTTCCAATGCAAAGCGTACAGTAGATATGTGAGCTCCATGCATAGCATAATTACAAACTAATATAGCTGTAAACTGAATTACCAGTCAATTAAAAACCAATTTAATCCGACTAGCTACATTATCTAGTAATAATAATTTTTAATTACAATTTAAAATTTACTAGCAAATTTATGTATAAATAAACGTGTGAAGTTAATGGAGTTTAATCAGCTATTTGAACACACAGCCAAGTTCGTTGCTTAAGTCTTTCATTTAAAGCGCACAGAGTAATGCCGCCAATGTACAACTAGTAGTCGATTGAGTGAGTATTCGAACAAAAAATTCAAAGAAAATAAGCACAACAAAAAGCGCATAAATGCTTGCTGATACTTCCTATTGCATTCGCATCGGAAATAATTGAATGTAGGTAGCAACGTCCCAATTCCCCCCGTCGCCGCATTGCTTTCGTTTGATTTGGTGGAAGTGAATTTCAAATGCAGTCAAAGTGCGGAAAAACGATTGCATACATAATTTTTTCTGCTTAAATGAATTGTATGTATGTATGCATGCACACAGAAAACCGCATGCAATTAAAATTGAAAATCACAACGCAAAGGCGTACTTTGTAGTGAAGTAAATATTGGTTGTTTTAAATTAAGTCTGCCACTGCATTTCTACTGCAAATTTGCCACTGGTCAACGTAGCGTAAAAACAGGCACTTGAAGGTTGTTTGTTGGCGCAAAATTGGACGGCACTTTATGGGGTATTAAGTAACTCAGCGTTTGGGTGTGGTTCAAATTGCCTGCAACGGTTTTTTTTTTTGTTTACTGGCGGATGTTTAGTTCTGGCAGATTTGCTTTTAATTTTTTGTCGCTTAGATTAAAAATTGAATGCATGGAAAACATTTCTGCGCTTAAAAAGTGCTAGTTAAAAACTATTTTGAATTATTATTTTCACACTTCGAATGTCTCTGATTTTTTTCTTAATAGCAAGAATTCACTTTAGACACATTTAAATGTTTTTTATTAACAATAATAGTTTTTTTCATTCAAAAAATGTCCAATTGGCTTGCACATTTACCACTAGACTCCGCTGGATCCGCATGGTTCCCGGGTCCTAAATCACAAAATTTACAACTTCAGCGCAATGCAGTGAATGCACGGCCTTGGCGTTAGAGCAAAAGATTTCCTTCGAGGTTCGTGTATGCGTTTATATAATCCACTTGTAACGGCTAGCACGCCGTGCAGACCAGCTTGAACTCCAGCGTGTGGAGGAAAAAACTGTTTTTATAATTCTTTGACACTGCAGTTAAATACCCCGGCGTAAAAGCAAAGCGGCGTCAAATGCAGCGCAGCCACAGCCACACCACAACACAAAAACAGAGTAAGACAATGTCAAAACCAGGCTAGGGAATAACAACGTATTGAAAGCGAAATGCCAAAGATAATCACAAAGAAGGTGGCAATCGGCAGCGAGCTCCAGAGACCCAAGCGCCAACTTTGAAAAAGAGCCGCAAACTACATATAAGATGTGGCTAAAGAAATGCAGACGCGCATGCGATGTGGTACGCTAGCTATTGAGCGCTTATGAGTATGTAATAATAGCATAATGCTGAGAAGAAAGACAAAAACAAAAATGGAAAAACAAAAGGCGGCAACCTTGAGTTGTGATAACGGTTTTGGTTGTGCGCTTTAGCGGCGAGCGCCCACTAGCTATGACATAATATCACAAATGTAAGCAAAAGCACGCAAATGCAAGCGAAAGTGAAGCTGAAAGAGCGGAGAGCGACTGACTGATCGCGCATTTTTGTTTGGTTTGGAGAGAAAACCAGCGCGAGTAAAGCGTAAGCTGCAAGCGCAGCTGGTTCAAGTGAAGCAGTGATAAAGCTTCGGAAAAAGCTTACACTCTTCACTGGCCCTATAGCGCAATGTAAAAATCTACTGCTGGTAGAGCGAAGGCGTGAGTGTGAGCACGCATATTTGGGCTTGTTTTCGCTCCCGAGTACGCTCTCTCTCTCTTCACTTAACCCTTAAACGAACAACGCATTTCGTCATATTTTGCAACTTTTGCATCTTATTCACAATGCAACTTCGTCTACTAGTGGCGGCTAGTTCCCAAAATATCAAATAATTACTTTTTTTTCTCCATTCACTTCTGCAAGCGCTTGCAACATACACGCTCCCAAAGTTGAGTAACAACAAAGACTAAATGCTGCTTACCAAAATTATTCAAATAAAATAAATAAAAAAAAGTTTTCTACTCCCAAGCGTGTGCTGCAATAGCTGTGTGATAAATTCGCGGAACGCACAAAAATGGCAATCTGCAAAAATGATAAATGTAGCCGCTATTTGGCGCACAAAAAAGCAAACACATAGACGTACATATATACATAGTTGGTTATGTGGCCGAGTTGCTGCTGAGTTTTATTTTGTTTCCACATTAAAAGGCAGCAGTTATGTCTTAATTGAATTTTTGTAACTATTTAACTATTTTAACTATGTAACAGTTTTTTTGCTGCATTCCTGGGAATTCTAAGCCAATATAAGCAAGGTCGCCACGTATTTCATACTTTTGTTTTAATTAAATTTTCATTGAAGTGAATCACTTGAAATTCTCCTGATGCCGAAAAACTTAATAAGCAATTTGTTTTTATTAATTGTGCCTATAATATTTGTATGCCAATGACAGCATAATTAACTAGTTAAATTGCCCTGTTTACATACACAAACTTTGGCACATATTTTACATACATACATACATACATGTAGTATAGCACAAAACCATGCCCGCCGTATCATTTTAATTAAATTTGGTCAGCTACTATTTTGCTTTGCTTTCAAAAAAAAAAAATCGGTTAAGGGCAATGATCGCTTGCTGGTTCGTTGCAATTGCTGGGTTGTGCGTGCGCCTACTTATAGATGCACAGCACTCAATATATTATAACCAATTGAGAAGGTTTATTTCGGCCCACACATTGAATTTCATATTTTTTGTCTTGCCCTGCTTGCGGGGTTTTATCATTTTTTTTTGACAACGCTTTGTATGCTTTGTGCATCGGCGTAGGGGTCGCCCGTAAATGGGAGTGCCGTAGATTCAATTTAATGTGTAACATGCCGCTCGGAGATACTCCAAAAAGAGTTTAATATAATAAATTAACGCAGTATTTCATAATACTCGGCTGATATATATATATATATATGCATAATTTTGTAATATCAAAACAATAACAATGGCAAAATTTCTTAATTTTTTAAGTTTATATTGAGTCATAGTAAGAGAAGAAATATTTTCAAAGCTTTGTTATTCAAGGTCAAAGACGTTTCAACGTTAACAAAAGCGATACAATCTGCTTAACCTTTAATCGCTCGTTGAAACCAAAATTTTCCATGTGAATTTTGTTGTACCCTTTGTTTTTTTTTGATTTGATTTGTAAGTCCTTTTCGTGTGATTTCTTTAATCTGAAGTTAGAGAAGATAATAAGAGTTTAAGAACTGAACCGCTAAAGAACAATCTACTGTAAGAGCGTAACAAAATCCTCGAAGTGTATTCCAAGTTCGTTAAGGACGCAAAGCGAATGGGTCTGGTGGTAAACGAAAACAAGAAGAAGTATTTCATGTCATTCCAGCATACAAAAAGTTGTTTTCTAACAGCGTCCGCAGGGTTGCCAGTGAAATAAAATACTTACCATTCACTTGAAAAAATTCTACCAATTCTGGAAAATATTAATAATTTTTTTAGTTAAGAAAAACTATAGATCCTTTCTATTTTTTAGTTATTTCAATACAAATTAATATTTTTAATATTTTTAGTTTTTATTATTAATTAACTAATGAAAAGGTATTAGAGATCTAATAATGGCATCTTCTCGATTTCTTTCAACCAAAAGCGAAAATAATGAAACTAAAGACAACAAGGAAACTTCATCATTTGAAAAAAAAACTTCAACCCGAGTTACCGTAGACAAACCACTTAGTGTTTTTTTAATAATCACAATGTTTTTCAGGTAATTTTTTTTTTTTGGATTATTTTGTTTTATAAGAATATTGTTTGCGCGTTAACCAAAATCGTAATAAAAATCGAGGTTTCAAGCTACATTGAATTTTAGTTTAACCAATAATGTGCAGTTAAACATTCCCGTTAATATAAAAAACATTTTTTGCCGCCGGTCTTTTGTGTTTTCTATACCCGAGCGCACTTGTGCACAAGAGTATTATAACTTCGATAGATAGATATAGGCAAATGTATACATAAATGATCAGATTGAAAAGAGAAATCGATTAAGCGGTGACTGCCAGTCTGTCCGTCCGTCCGTCCATCCGTCCGTCTGTGCACACGATAACTTGAGTAAAAATTGAGATATCTTAACGAAACTTGGCATGTGTACTTCTTTTTAGCATAGGACGGATGGTATAGAAAATGGGCAAAATAGAACTCGTTTTCTACTGATTGTAGTGATGACTCGTGTCACTAACCCAGGACTCGATCTCAGATCTCTCGGGAGGCATGCCAGTGCTTTGTTAACTCGACCATTGCGACTCTTGGAGCAGCGTGAGCAAAAGGTATAGGGATGGATGTGATTAATCATTAAATTAAATTAATAGATTATTTTTTTCCAATTGTTGATTTAATTGTATCGTAGTTTTGTATTTTATTAATCGATTAATTGTACAATAGTCGTAAAAATATTTTTTAGAAATATGAATTCTGTAGTTGTCCAAAACTCATCCATCGAACATTCTTTTTTGTAGCTACATCGACTTCTAAATAAATGCATTTCAAAGATCCGTTAGCATTGGCCTCAGTAATGAAGTTCTTGCGAACTTAAATAATGTACACAGCTGATCTTATGGAAACGGGTACATGTACATATTATTTAGTTTTTCAAAACATATTTTGTTCTTCCTTTTAAATAAATTTTTTTGTTTTCTAAAATACATTTTAATTTTATTTTTAGATTTTATTGTTGTAAAAATATTTTTTGGTTTGGACCAAGTTAGTTTTTTAGTCTTATTTAATCTGAAGCAATTTATTTTATTTTCTTATTTTTTTAATTTATTTCTTTCAATTACGTTTTCTTTGATCGTTAAACAATAATATTTAAAAACTACATTTTTTTAAACGTATTTAATTTTTAGGAACTTATCTTTTCTCTTCTGTTAAATTTATAGTTTTTTCATGTAATTTAATATATATATATAACTATTTAATTTTTATGTTGAACAATTTTATTGAGCTTGAGGCCGTTTTTAATGAAAATTTTTGTGAAAAATACCAGTTTTAACTTTAGCTAAAATGTAAATTGTGGGGGTTTTCACAAAAATTTTCATTAATAGCGGCCTCAAGACAATAAAATTGTTGAATATAATTGTTATAAGGCCATAAATATTCAATTTTTTTAAATTTGTTTTATAAATTTTTTCTTTTTATACCCGAGCGCACTTGTGCACTAACTTTGTTCACATAACGGTTGTTTGTAACAGGCAAAACGAATCGAGATAGATATAGACAAATGTATACATAAATGATCAGAATGAAAAGAGAAATCGATTAAGCGGTGACTGTCCGTCCGTCCGTCCGTCCGTCCGTCCGTCCGTCTGTGCACACGATAACTCGAGTAAAAATTAAGATATCTTAACGAAACTTGGTACGTGTACTTCTTTTGGGCGTACGACGGATGGTATTGAAAATGGGCAAAATCGCACAATAACCACGCCTACCTCCCATATAACGGTAATTTTCAGAAATACGAAAACTGCGATATTTTAGTAACTACTGAAGATTATTAACTCAAAATTGATATTTGCAATAACTTTTAGACGAAAAATAAGAATGTTATAAATTTTTGAAAAATGGGCGTAGCCACGCCCACTTATGGTTACATGTGTATATCTTGGCAACCGCTGCACCGATTTCTTCCAAACTTGGCACAGTTATTGGCCTTGGTACAGGATACCGAATGGCAGAAAATTTTTAAAATCGGATAATAACCACGCACACATCGGTAACGGTAATTGGAGAAATACGAAATCTTCGATAAATCAGTAAATATTAAAGCCAATTTATTCAAAACTGATGCTTGCAACAATTCCTTACCGGGAAATACGTCTATAATTAAATTTTGAAAAATGGGCGTGGCACCGCCCACTTATGATCACATATATGTATCTCGGTAACCGTTCTACCAATTTGTACCAAACTCGGTATTTTTATTGTGCTTGCTATATAAAAGCAAAACGATGAAAATTATTGAAATCGGAC